TGTGAATGTAAGCATACTCACTCATACATTTCTATGGAGTCTTCCGCTTCAGTGACATAGTTACTAGGAATGTAGCCTTCTTGCCTGTAGAGGAGACAATGTGGTATATCATCCAGCACCTCCCAGAGACAGAGTCATATGCTCACACCCTCAGCTCAGAACCAATTTCAAATGTATGTGTACATATATATATATGTGTGTGTGTGTGTGTGTGTGTGTGTGTGTGTATTCACCATACTCCTCTCAAAGTGGACCATATCTCTGATACACAGTTAGGCCAGTGAAGTGTGGAGCTTCTGCACACACAGCTTGGGTTATATGTACATGACAGTAGAGGCTCAGAGAGGTGGCAGAGCCCACATGTAAAGCTGTACACTGGGAAGTACAAGAGGACTCCAAAGATTTGGTGGAAAAAAATGAAATTAAAATATAAGTTTATTTTGGTGTGAAAATTTTTTTGAAATCCATGCATAGTGTTTTATAATATGTATCTTCCATGAACTTTCTGAAGATACCAATAGTTGGACGGAAAGCATAGTAATATCACTTTAATGTGGAAAGAACAATCTTTGATCAGGATACTGAGCGAGCAGGGGAAGGTATACTGCAGCATTGGCACATGTGTGGGGTGGGTTGGCACACGACTTGGGAGGACTAGTGTGCACTTACCCATTTTTATCTCGGGCTCTCCACCATGGTAAGTTGCTCTCCTCCAGGATAAAATACTCATCACCCTTCCGCAGCTGTAGATCATTTGCATTCATTGGCATGTAATCATAAAGGGCTACAACCTTTTTCAGCTCACTTGTGGCGACAGGTGCTGCTGTAGGCTCAGGGGGCAGTGGTTTTTTCAAGATCTGTGTAGTTTGAAGAAAAAAACGTGTTGGAGGACAAGAAGGCTAGATCTCAAGGACTCTCCTTATCTCTCTCAATTCTCTGGTTTACTAACCACCATTCCAACCTCAACTGGGCATAATAAAAGGGTTATTTAGTATTCTTTCAACAACCATTTAAAATTTTTAAAATTGGTTTATTTATTTTCATTTGACCAGAGAGGGACAGTGTGTGTGTGTGTGTGTGTGTGTGTGTGTGTGTGTGAGAGAGAGAGAGAGAGAGAGAGAGAGAGAGAGAGAGAGAGAGAGAAACTGAGAAAGCAAGCTCCTAGGTCTAGGACTCAAACCATGGTTGGCCATTTGGGAGTCCAGCACCCTTAACCACCACGCCACCTGCCGGCCTCTCAACAACCCTTTTTAAGCACCATTGCAGGGATTCTCAACCTGGCATGTATATGAAGATTACTTAGAGACTGCTCAAACAGTCCTGATGCCCAGGAAGTTTTCCACAGGCCAGCAATGCCAAAATCTCTGTGAGTGGGACACAGACATCAGTCTGTTTTTGTTTTTGTTTTAATTTCCAGAGAGTATGTATGCTTGCCAGAGAGTGACAGAGAGGGAGAAAGCAACCCCCAAAGTGCATAGTCACACCACAATCCCTCCTCCTCCTCCATTTCTTCGCCCTGTCAGGATTTGGGGCATGCATGAACACATACCCAGTATTGGAAACCACCAAGTCACTCAAGTTGTTTATTGGGCTAGATCTATTAATAAGATTTTTCTGTTCTGTACTGGAAAAATTTGCTAAACTTTTTGTCTGTTTATAAAATACATTTTCATGAGCTGCTGATATATGCTGAAAGCTAAGGTTGGTGTGTTAAAAGTTCTGGTTCTGCATGCAAGGTTACAAGACTGATAAGGAAAAAAAAAGATTTACTTAGAAACACAAAAGCTAGTGTGCAGAAGCTGTTATGTAGGACACAGGACACATTAACCTGGTGATACTTGGCTTGCTTCTCTGGGAAATGGGTTACAGGAGTTACTGTTTGCAGTCTCCTGTGCCTAAGGACCCAGTGTGCCAGTCACTCAAGTTGTTTTCCAGAAGATCTGGGCTATCATCACGTAGGGTGGTCTCCAACAACCCAGCACGTTCTTCAAGCCTCCAGGGATGGGATTTGAACTGCAGTAAGTCATATAGGACCTGGCTCCCTTACCACTAGACTACCAGGCTGACCTAGGCATCAATATTTCTAAAGCTTCCCAAACAAAAACCATGTACAGCCAAGGTCAAGAAAACTGCTTGGAACTAAACTAGTACATAAACCTCAGTTTCCTTCTTTGTAAAATAATAAAAAATAATTATACCTCTCCAACTTACAATACAGGGAACTTCAATATGTTCATGGAAATAGGAATTAAAATATGAGTTTATTTTAGTACAAAAAAATCTTTGAAATGCATGCATTATGTTTTCACAATAGGCATTTTCCATGAACTTTTTGAAAGCCTCTTCTATATGAGAAAGAGTTTTCTAGATCACAAGAAGGTACCAAAAAATCAAGCAGTTTTAAAGTAAAATGTTAGTGGTAGAATCTAGGTGTGGGTATGTGGGTGTTCAATGTTAAATGCTTTCAATTTTACTGTATGTTTGAAAATATTTGTCATTAAAAAATCAGACTTTGCCCCCATCTCCTCCCTCCTGTTACCCCTCCCTCCTATACTATCTCTGGTATCTGCAGTCACCCCCCTGCTAGTATACCTTTCCATCTTTCAGTGTTTGCCATAGAATGTAGATATTTGGTATATATTGAACAGGGATATACAATGTTTCTCTTTCACAGTCTGACTCGCTTCACTTAGCATAACAGAAATGTGAATGAAAAATTATCTGTTAATGATAATGTATATGATAATATGTTGACTTGATTGATATGCACTACACCCATGTTGAGAAAAAAACATTTTGTACACTGTAAAGATGCACAGTGATTAAATGTAAATTTTTAAAATGTAAAAAACGTAAAAATAAAGAAAAATATCAGGCTTTGTTTTAAATAGGTGATTGGATTAAATAGTTGCCAAGCACTACCTAATAACCCTCTATCTTTCCATTGAAGCGGAAGACCTCATTAGAAGCCCAAATCCCCTGTCTCAGCAAGAATAACAATTAACATTGCCAAGTCTCAGGGGAACTCTAAGACTCTGATGTGTTTTCAGGAGTTGACTGTACATTTCCATTTTCCTGTATACCTGGTCCTCCTCAGGTGTAGGGGGAAGAGGCTTTTTTGTCTTTCGATGAGAACTCCCAGGTTTTAAGCCTGAAAAACAAGAAGTGAGTGATGATATAGGCTATATTAGAGAGAAGGGTTCAGAGTCAGATCTGGTCAGGGACTTTGCTATTGTACACAGTGCCTTTAGGGAAGTTAGAAGGCTGAGTAGATACAACTCTGTAGGTCATAGTGCTTGGAGAGCAGATTGCCAGCTAGACTTCATCCCTCACTAATCCCCTCTCCCAGGCCTCTGTGCAATGGCCAAAACGTACAACCTTATACTGTGTCCCTGAGCTGGACAATCCCTTGGGGGCAGTGGAAGTAGAGTCAAAGAAGAAAGACATTAAATTGGTCAGATCTCTTACTTCCATTTCTGTTCTCCAAAATTTGGCATCCCATAGCATTTTTGGCTGTTTGAGAGCAGCAGAGATACTGTCCATCGATCCAGAAGCAAGGGTGGTATTTCTGTACTAGATCACTGTTGTACCGGATCACTATAGCAGGAGAGAAGAAAGAGAGATCACACCTGACATGCAGGAGAATCCATCATTTGCATGTTTTACTCCTTGACTGAGCATAGGGGTGAATTTCAAACAACTGGCCCCTCCCCAGCCACCCGGATGGAAAGCAGACCACAAGACCAGTTGGCTCACATGATCTGCCTGTATGCCCAGGTCCCAGACAGTTCCCGTGAATTCTCTTCAGTGGTCTGTCATGATGAGTATCTCCAACCAACATGATAAGAATATCTGATGGCTCTAGAGCCCAAGAACAGAAGTGTGTTATCTATGTTTTCCCAGTAGCTATTACAATCTTTCTGTTAGGCAGGTATTCATTATAATGCTGTTTCCCAGACAAGGGAAATTAAATGTCCAAGCCAGACTCTTACTCCAACTTTCATTTTATGTTAAACTTTATTCACTTATTCTTCTATGAGAGAGACAGAGTAACAGCATCCCCAACAGGGTCTTTTTTTTGGGGGGGGGGAGAGGTTTTTGCTATAGGGCGTGTGCACTCCCTGAAAGACAGAGAGAGGCAGAGAGACAGAAAGCGAGAAATCATCCCCCGGGGGGATGGCCACACTGCAATCCCTTCTCCTCCATTCTCCTCTCGGGATCTTGGGCATGCACGCATACGCGCCTGGTGTGAGTTTAAGCCACCAGGTCTCGGACTCAGACCACAGTTGACTACATGGGAGTCCAGCGACATAGCCGTTATGTCAACTGCTGGTCCCCCAAACAGGGTCTTGACTGATGTGCTCCTAACTTCTTCAGCCAGCCCTGGATCATGGGCAAGTATGTGTCTAGTATACTCTGGGAGGTCTCCAGACTCAAGCCTCAGAACCTCCCACTTAGGTCAGCCTTGCAGAGCATCACATTCTGCTGCTGTGCCACAGTCCAGCCCCCCATTCTAGCTTTGAATATACTAATTTCTTAGTTTCCTGGGTGATCGTTCAGGGACATTTGCTTTAATGAGAGTTTCCCCATTAGGCTCTCCATGTTCATAGAATAGTCAACAGAGCTGACCTCAAAGACAAATGAAGGTGATTCTGCCTCTAGAACAGGCATGGTTCCAATCTTCCTAGCTCCACTGAGGCGGGCTGAGTTCGTTGCTGGAGATAAACATAGCAGCTTTATTTTCCTCACAGGGTTGTGAGGCTCAAAATATCTCCCAGAATTCAAAGTAATGTGCAAAGCATAGAGTGGTTTGCAGATGATGGAATTAATGTTACTGTTTATAAAACTGTGGCATCTCAAGAACCTTAACATGAAGTCAATTAGAAAAGTCATCCAGGGATCATGGTATCAGATAACTAAAAGAAGCAAAGACAATTGAGCAACTGGCATTAGAAAGACCCAGGCTGGTCTTAGAACATGTGCATTTGGGAAGATACACATTTTAGCATTTATTGCAAGGAAGAATCCCACATAACTTTAGAAAACAAATGAACAAAAATCTTCCACTGTAGAAAACAACTCAAGTCCTTAAGAGTTTGCTAGGCACACTCCATGCATTTAAGCTTTAGGGGAGGCCTAGAAGTTTCTTGTGGCCAGGTACATTTTATAGGCAAATGAATAAAAGCGCTATTTTTTTTTAATGTGCCAGAGAGCATCTGTGCTCACTCTATAGAGAGAAAGGAAGAGAGAGAAAGTGAGAAAGCATCCCCCCCATAGGGAATGGTAACATGGCAATCCCTTCTCCATTTCTTTCTATTTTTGGAATTTGGGGTATGTACACACACACTTGGGGTAGTTCTCAAGCCGCTGAGCCTGAGACCCAAACTATGCATTAGTCATGTGGGATCCAGTTCATGTAACCATTAAGCCATGGGCTGGCCCCCAAAGTGCTATCTTTTAAAATAAGTACCAGGACCAGTAGATAGTATAATAGTTATGTGACTGGACTCCCACATGGCCAACCGTAGTTTGAGTCCTGGACCCGGCAGCTTAAAACTCATGCCAGGTATATGTTTGTGCATGCCCAAAATCCCAAGAGGAAAATGGAGGAGAAGGGATTGTGGCATAGTCATCCCTCCTAAGAGACGATTTCTCACTTTCTGTCTCTGTCTCTCCAGTGAGCACACGCACCCTATAGCAAAAAATATCTCTAGAAACTAACTAAATAAATAAATAAAAGAAGTGCCATCTTGATACTTTTCTCAGTAAGGTTTGAAGGCTTCTAACCACTCTCTGCTGCCCACCCTCACTCCCACTTTTTCAGCATTCCTTTTCACCATTGTATCAAAGGCAGGGTGGTGGGAGCTGTTCAGATAAAATACAGGCTGTTAGTAGCTCGTTGTCTGTAGAGAATTTTAAAACAATAATAAAACCAGGCAGAAATCTGTCTGCCTTTTGTCATTATCAGGCACTGGTAATTCTGAGCAATGCCATTGCTTGCCAGGGCCGATTGTTCCTGTCACCTCTACCCTCTGTCCCTTTCCCCATGCCACTTCCTTCACCCAGGGATTTGAAGACCCTTGGGGGTCTTCTGTGCCTTCTGCAGGTTTGGGCACCAGGAAACAAGCCAAGAATACTTAATCTCCAACTAGCCACTCTGAAAACTAAGCTATGCTAATAGGCTAGTGAGGGGAAATAAACCCCCCTGCCCTGCCTGCCCCTAGCACACACATTAAGAATCTTCCCTACATTCCCAAATAATGTCTGCCTTTCAAGAGGTCCCATGAAGATGACATCACATCCTTTGTTGGCTCATCCAAAACTGGTATTTCCAGCTACTTAGGAGAGAGTTACAAAAGCAGGGTGCCTAAGTGGGAGAGCTAGGGGAGACTGCTTGCTTCATTAATGCACAGGGCTAGCCCTGTCTGGGAGCACTAATGGTTAGTACATATTCTCCAAGTACTTGATGAGCTGGTCTCTTCTCTCCATATTTATCTACATAAGGTATAAAATTCTGTTTCAGGCATGCACAAATTGTTCCTCCCCATATTGGTCACTGGAGTTGTGCCAATGCCATTCTTTCATTCATTTTGGTGAGGTTAGGTCATTACTTATTTTTTAAAAGAATTATTTATTTAATTTTATTTCTTATTCTTATTATTCTTTAACTTGCTACAGGAAATGTGCACTAACCAGAGAGAGACAGAGAGAAAATGAGAAAGTAAGCCACCAGGTTCAGAACTTGAACCAAAGTTGGCATATGGGAGTCCAGCACCTTAACCACCACACCACCCACTGGCCCCCTCATTGCTTATTTTCAAAGTTGCAAGTAGGATCGTCTCTGTTGAGCTTGATCAAGAAAAGATTCAAGAATGAGTGTAGGCAAATATGAGAGATCTTTAGAAAGTTCATGGAAAATGCATACTATGAAAAAAGAACACATGGATTGCACCAAAATGAACTCATACTTTTAATCCATTTTCCACAAACTTTTTAAAGTGATGCTGTAGCGTAGAAATGCCTGATGCCACTTATAAGGAAGTGGAAGAGAGAGTCCGTGGCTACGTCCTCAGTGACACAACCTTTGCATGGAAACTGCCATAGAGAAAATATGGCAGCTGGCTATGAGGTACCTGAGGCCTTACTTTTAAAACTGAAGTATAAATTAATAATAAAGTGCACAGACCTAAGGTGTACAGTGAGCCACGTTTGTCCATAGTGGTTTAGCCCCCACTCACATCTAGTACCTCAGAAGACTCCATCATTGCCCCTGTAGAGATAACCAGTATTTTAAATTTATTCATTTATATCTTCCCTGAGAAATATTGAAAGAAAGGGAGAAAGGGAGAGAGAGACACCCCCAACAGGGTCTTTTTTCTTTTTTTTGAGAAATTTTTTGCCATAGGGCGCGTGTGCTCGCCAGAAAGACAGAGAGAGACAGAGAGACAGAAATCACCCCCCAGGGGGGATGGCCATGCTTCAATCCCTTCTCCTTCGTTCTCCTCTCAGGATCTTGGGCACCCATGCACACGCACCCAGTGTGAGTTTAAGCCACCAGGTCCGGGACTCAAACTGTGGTCGACTACATGGGAGTCCAGCGACATAGCCATTATGCTATCTGCTGGTCCCACAAGGTCTTGATGCCACCATCCACCACCACCCCCAGATTCAGCCAGCCCCAGATGATGGGCAATAGTGTACCCAACATACTTAAGGTAGTCTCTAGATGCAAATCCAGGACCTTCCCATGTGGGTCAGCCTTGCAGAATGTTGTATTTTACCACTGCACCACTGTCCAGCCCCTGGTAAGCAGTAATTTGATGAGCTCCCCTTTTCATATTCGTGATTTCCAATTGGTGAATTTTACCCAAGAGTCAGATGACAATAGAATGGGATGTTATGGCTTTTGGAGTAGCTCACTATTAGCATTCCCAGCACCTAGGTTCATACTGGGATTGTCAGGGTTTGCACCTAAATCTCCCAGCAATTACGGTGTTTTATTGGAAGACTACTACTTTTCAACTTCTTTTGTAAACCCAGGCATGTTTGACTAAATACATATGAAGGTGGAATAACTGTAAAAACACGTTCTGTGGAATATACGTGAAAAGAAGGCAAAAATGCACTTAGCCACACAATTGACCTACACTAATGATACAGCTGAAGTGGTGGCATTTATGTTTATTTGTTTCGGATTTATTTTTATCCTGCTGTAATTTTACATAGCTAATAAACTTCAGTAGCAGTGAATTGTCAACACAGTAAGGTTAACATCTGAGTTAATAAATTAAGCTCACAAACTGGATATTCTTATCCTTGGTTATTACACATACACTGAATAAAGTTGGTACTCAAAATTTGTTGCACTAAACTATGACTGGTTTTGAAGTTAGTATTTCAAATGTAGAGAATAATTTCTTCTTTGTTTTACCTCAGCTAGTCTGCCTCACTTTCCTCTATTTCCAGACTGAATCCTCACCACCATCTATGTAGAGCCCAAATTGGTGGTATTTACTTCTGTGGAAAAATAACACAACTATTTATTGACCCCTTGTGTACAAAGCACTGTATGACACACTGTGACAAGAACCAAGTAGTATATATGCCCTCTGGAGCTCCTGTTCCTATCTCAATCTCTGCAAATATTTCTCTGGCTTGGAAACAGCATATTGGTTCAGAGCACGGATTATGAGTTCAAAGCCTGACCCTGCCACTTACAAACTGAGTGCCTTTGGACAACTTACTTAACCTCTGTATACCTCAGTTTTCTTAGCTGTAAAATGGAGAAGCTGAAAATAACAGCCTCATATAGTTAACATGAAGAATAAGTTAGTAGGATAGGAAAACCCTCAGTCAGAAAGACACTTGCACATCCATGCCTATTGCGGCATTATTTACAATTTTTAGGACATGGAATCAACCCAAATGTCCAAAAATAGATGATTGTATTGAAAAAAATGTGGCATATGTACTCTATGGAATACTACTCAACCATAAAAAACAATGAGACCCTCACATTTGTTACAAAGTGGACGAGTATGGAAGACAGTGCTAAGTGAAGCAAGTCAGCCTATGAAAGACAGACTTTGTATGTCCCTGCTCTATATACCAAATGTCTGCTCTCTATAGCAGAAACTGAAACGGAAAGATTAGAAGGTATAATATCAGGGAGGGCAACCATAGATATAGAGATAGTTAAGGAGGGTAATAGGAGGTGGGTAATGAGGGAGGAGTGGAGGTAGGGGAACAGGGAAAAAACAATACATTTAATTGATACAAAAATGAAGAGTTATTTGCTGCTGCTGATGTATATGGTAATGTCTTTGTCTTGACTGATATGCACTATATTCATGCTGGGAAAAACCGTGTTGTACACTGTAAAGATGTATAGTGATTAAATGTAAATTATATATATATAAAATATATAATATGTATATTATATGTATACATTTATATATGTATAAAATATATTCCTATCTTATATGTAAAATAAGTGAAATGATGTATGTAAAGAACTTAAAGAGCCTGGGGACCAGCAGTTAGCGTAATGGCTATGTCGCTGGACTCCCGCGTAGTCAACCGCGGTTCGAGTCCCCGACCCCGGGGGCTAAAACTCATGC